GAGGCAGGGCAAGGTGGCCGGGAGGTGCAGGACAGCGCAGCCCCGAGGGAGGCAGGGCAAGGCGGCAGGGAGGTGCGGGACAGCGCAGTCCCGAGGGAAGCAGGGCAAGGCGGCCGGGAGGTGCGGGACAGCGCAGCCCAGAGGGACGCAGCTCCGGTTCTCCGTGCAGTCAGAAGACAGGTAGCACAGGAGGTCATGGCGAGCGCTGGGAGGGCAGCTCCGCGCTGTCTGCACGGGCAGGCGGCAGTAGGACAAGGCGGGCTCCGGGCCAGCGCTGCGCACAGCGGGGAGAGAGGGAGGGAGGGCGTAGGGACGAGGGACAGGCTGAGGGCCATGCAGGCGGCAGACGCGAGCCCAGGGCCGACCCAGCGGACAGTGTGGGTCAGTGTGGCCGGCAGTCTGTACAGTGCCTGAAACATAGCAGAGTGGGGTGCACGGCGACACCTCGGCTCGCCTGCTGTCACGGCGGCGAATACCCATAAGGTGTCTTAAAGACCGAGCCTGGCATAATCAGTGACCGCGACGGCCAGGAGGCACGCCGGCCCGGCTGGGGGCCCCGAGCTTGCGGATGACTCGCCTTTGCCAGCTTGTCTGCAGTCACCTTGAGCTCAGGAGCCTTGGAAATGTTCGCCAAGACGGCAGCTCCACGGAGACAGCTGAAGGACGGACGTGCCGAGTAGCCTGCCGAAGACCGCCGCTCAGATGGAATCCACGCAAGAAACTACGTAGGGGATTAGAGGCTGATGGGGCAGACCGCCGGCTGAGCTGAAGCATTCCCATCGGTCGGCTCCGCGGGCATCCACGCCCTCCTTCCTACCTCGGCTCCACGCCGGGCACCCCAAGGCGATGGGCCTTGCCCACTGTGCTCACAGAATACGTGGAGCAATGCGGGAGCACGGGTCATGCAGCCACGGAAAGGGGCTCAGGTACGACGAGGGCCACTGAAATACAAATGCTCAGGAGTCCACAGACGCTTCTGAGAACAGGGGAGCCACGAAGCAGGACTGGGGGAAGGGAGTGGGTCACTGGGGAAGAGAGGACGGGAGGTGAGGCGCTCAGGCCACAGAGCGCCCTGCCGGCTGTGATGCTGCTGCGAGGCGGACTCCGCTGCGTCGGCAGCAGAGGAGAACCAGGAGGAGGCTGGATGCAGCTCCACCGGAAAGAGACGGCCGGATCTGCTGTGGGCGGGATGAAGCACACCGCTGCCCTCACATGTGCCCGGGGTGCAGGGGTGTCTGCTCTTTGGGCTTCCTAAGTAAGCTGTCACCTCATGACGAGGCAACTGAACGCTATCTTTGTCAGTTTTTTTTAAATGTATTTAGTACGGGGTCTTACTACGCAGCTAGGACTCATCGAGATCCTCTTGTTTTCAGCCATCCCAGAGCTGGGATTACAGTCGGACACCACTACGCCTGGACTCTGTGGCCCGCCCAGATCACTGGGGGCCGGGGCTGAAAGGGCACGAGGTGCCAGGGAACAAATCCTGGTCCCTGCACTTAGTCACTGGGCGATCTCACCGGCCCTGCCAGTTTGTGTTTAAAGGTAAATATAACTCTTCCTTCACTTAATGTGCCATTGTACAGTTCTTAATTTATATATTTTCCTTAGCCAGGTGTGGCTGTGGTGCACATAATCCCAGCAGCTGAGAGGCTGAGTCAGGAGGATTATGGAGCAGGAGGTGAAGGAATTCGAGTCCAGCCTGGGCTACACAGAGAGACCCTGTCTGGAAAAAAATGTGTCTTGTCTCTTTAGATACACCTAAAATTATAATATATGCATATTTCCTTTTTGTCTTTGCTTCTGCATTGAAGACTTAGTGACAAGCCATCGGAGAAGGTATCTCAGGTTCTCTGCAACGGGCTGCAGGGAACGCGGCACAGAAAGAGACACAGGCGTCTACTGCAGGAACCCACGGCCTCCTGGGCGAGCCAGACGAGGTTCAAAGAGAAGGCTAGAGAAGCTCTGCGGGCCGCGGGGATGCCAAGGGACGCTACTTTTGACCAGAAGCCTAGTGGAGGAGGCGACGTTTGAGTAGCGCTTCCAGGAAATAGAGACTGGACAGTGCGCCCTATGCGGACGGTGCGCCCTGATGCACGCACAGGCAGCTTCCTGCAGCTCTCCCCCTCTCGACGCAGACTGTCCGGGCAGCTTCCTGCGGCTCTTCCTGCCTTCAGATTTCTGACCTACCAGAAATGGGTCGGCAGGTACTCAAGCCCGATTAAACACTCAAACTGGGGAAATAATGCCTCAGTCACCGCTGGTGCGCTACGTGACACCAATGTAATACTCAGCCAGCCGCGTGACATGAGCGCACACCGGGCCACAGCACCCTGCCCTGGTTCCACGGCAGCTGAGGCAGGGCGCCCTCCAGCCCTCAGAGGCCCAGGCCACGCGAGCCACTCCTGGCACCAGGACTCCCTGCGAGTCGTCCGGCACGGCTGCACCGACCACACAGGCGCGGGCAGTCAGTCTCGCTGCAGCTGCAGGTGCTCTGCGCCCCAGTGCAGCGCTCCCGGGGAGGGCTGCGCCCTGCTGCTGCGCCCACTTGGAGCCTGTTTGAAACCATCTTTACGTATGGGGTCAAATGTTCTGGTACACACACTTCTCGAGGTTATTAATACAGCCAAGCTTCCCAATTTCTAGGCCCCAGAAACTACCTGGAATCTGATCAGAACTCCTAAATTACTATGCTTTGCCTGGAGCAGTTATATTTAATTTATCTCTTTTGGAATTTTCCAGCAAAATTTTAAGAAGCAACTCACTTCTGTTTTTTCTAAGCAATATCTTCCTTTGGATTTTATTTTCAATTTCTTCTGGTACAGTAGTCTATCCTCTAAAATTTCTTCCTTAATGTGTGTTATTTAAAAGAATGTAATTAGACTATTAAATGACTATTGGCTACCTATTTTCAGGAAATCAGACTAGCATGAAAATTATCTCAACTTTCACTATTTCCTTCTACTATAGATTAAAAGGAAAACGAAATTAATTTATATCACAGTGATCTGGTAAAGTTTCTGACATCGGGGTCACATAATATAAAAATAGTAGACGTGAGCTTTCCGGCAACACCTTGCGCCTTTCTCACCAGTCATCCTTCCCTCTGTCACCGCTCACCAGGAGGACACCACCAGGCCCCGTGACCGTGCCTCGCATAACCTGACGGGTGGCATTGGAGCACACACCAGCTAGGGAAACTCTCTCTTCACATGTTTTGAGTCTTGTCAGCTTTCCTGACTGTCTTTCCTTTCTTGAGAGTGCCGAGAAACAGGATGGACTCCCTACCGTAAGCCATGTCTGCGTACGTGATTTTCCCCTTTGTACTATTTGCCAAGCACCTGGGCACACTGAAGTCTTTTCTTCCTTCTCTGTGTGGCCTTTCCTCCTCTCTTCCTTCTGAAACACAGAACTTCTTCTCTCCAGTAAACATCCCCACATACATCCCTACAGTTCACTCTTCTGACACAACCTCAAGATAGGTCAAGAAAACTGTTTTGTGACTGGAGGTTTCTGTCCAGAAGTCTAAGCTTCTAGAAACAAATACAATCAATATTGCTAAGAAGGAAGAAAAATAGTTAATAAGCCTTTCAGTAAACCCCTGAGTTGTGCCAAACAGTCCTCATAGTAGTCCTTTATAAGGCAGTGAGAAAAATGGGCCTAGGGACCCACACCTGTAATTCCAGCACTTGGGAGGCTGAGGCAGGAAGATCCTGTTGAGTTCAAGAGCAGCCTGAGCCGCAGAGCATGACCCCAGGAGGCTGTCGGGCACAGATTCTACCCACAGGCCCGTGGCCCTGCAGCTCTGGTGGGCTTTGGCTGATGGGGATTCCCAGCAGGACTACCTGTCCTCGCCCTCTGGACGTGAGGACAGTACTGGCTGTTCTGGTATACCGGAACTGTATACCAGAACTGTACTGTACGCCAGACCTGTCTCCCTACAGCCACATCTCTGCAGAGACTAGCTGGCCATGATCAACATGATGCTTCTCATGGGCCACCTGAGTCACTGCGCTTCTCAGTGACGTCGGTGATGACATCACGCTCACGTCAGGGCCGCAGTTAGAGAACACACGCCATGTGGCAATGGCCTCCCTACGACCTTCTGTGAGGTGCAAGCTGAACTGCAGGACCACTGCCGAAGCTGGGGGCACTGGCACACACCTACGTGCCAGGTCCTGGGAGCTCAGGCGGGGAGACTCGTGTGACCCTGTCTCAACACTGAAAGGGGGATGGCTGTACGTAGCCCTGGGCTTGCTCATCAGTACCAGAAAAGCACAGCAAAGTTCTCTCCATGACGTTCACTGCTGCCTCTGTTAGAAAACCACACAGCAAGTAAATTTGTAGCATAAGAATGCCAGAGGAAAATGAGGCAGCTCAAAAAATTTCACATGAAGAATCCATCAAGCCAGCTAATGGACCAAAGCCTGAATGTACAAGGTACTGTGGATATACGAAAACCGACACAAGCACGACTCTGTGACTGCAAGCCAGATCGCCGTCAGCTTCTCTGCATAACGTAGAGAAGGTGCAAACCCACCCATCCCAGTCTCCCCTAAGTTCCTCTGCATGCATGCTAGAGTTGGGGGTCAAGGGTGGGTGAGAGGTCCCACGGGCCCTTGCTCCCACTGTTTACGAAGGAAAAGCAATGCTTTCACCTTTTGACACAGCTTTAATACAGCTTGGCCAAAACAAAAAAAGCAAAGCCCAAATGCCTTGCAATCATCCCCAATGCGATGGCCGTCTACACTGTCCCCGCTGCAGATGAATCTAAGACAGAAGGATGCATTCTCTGATGTCCCTTTCTAAATGGTTTCTTTCCCTGTCAGTATCGGCTTTTCTTCAGTTCACCTAAGTCAACAGCATTTAACCATCACTTTTTTCATTAGGCTTATTGAAATGAAATGATTAATACGATACACTAAGTGATCAAGCAACCATGCGGGCACTGCCATCGCGTGTGAAGGAGACAGCAGTACACACGTTTCTGTAGTTACACTTACACAAAGAAGAACCGCGTGCAGACGTGCTCTGTGTTTGGGACGACCCAGATTTCTCCGTGCTTGTGCAGGTCGGGTGAGGTGACCACTGGAAGGGAGAGAGAACAGCTTTATTCTGAAAGGAATCCTACTTCTTCAGACTCCATCCCTTCCCCCTGAAACCCAAGATTCAAAACACATATACCAATAAAAGTGAAAAAACCCTTAACCTAATTATCTATCAAGAGCTGTGAACAAAAGCAATGAAGAGCCACGCGACAGCTGTGTCATGTGAGGGACGCTTGGCCCAACACTACCAAAGACAAGCAGGCTCCGCCTTGGAAATCACACAGGCATCAACTCAGCACCCTGTCAGCCCAGCACTCAAAACTCGAGGCAGCTGACCGCGGCTACTGAGACACCTAACGCAAGAAGAAAAGCGTACACTTAGCCAAAGTAGAATTTTAAAGTAAAAAGAAAAGCATGTACTCTTTCAAACGACCTATCAATTTTCTGTCCTTAGCTCAGAATGAAAGACTATATGTGGTGTAGGGGCAGAGCGCCCGACGAGGTTATCTTCTTAAAGTCTGGTCACTTTTCAAGATTTTCACAGTATCACATATTCAAATACTGAACTTAAGAGAAGAAAGAAGTACACGTAAGCATTACTTGACCAGAAAAGATATAAACCATTCTGACGCATCTGCCAGCAATGAAAGGCAGCACCGCCTGGAGGCTCGCCAGCGCTGCGACTCGGGCTTCCCCTCGCGGTCTCTGCTGTGCTGTCTCCACTCAGGCTCCCGGGCTGATCGCAGGCGCAGCGCGGCCATCCTTGCAGCGGCACACTCCTCAAACACTCAGAAGCTCAGATACAGCAGGGCGGGAGGCGACACGTACGTACCTTCACATAAGGCTATGCACTTTAAGTTACGGCTCTGCAGAAACTGGGACTGCGGTCCTTTTTTCTGTGACTAAATTCCAAAACAATTTAAAAATTAGAGTAAAAATGGGGCAGTCACTGCAATGAAAAAAATTTTCTTCATTAAAAAGTCACTGAGATAGATCCAAGAAAAAGCCTACATCGGCACCAACAGCTCTGCGTGCTAATTCTTAACATCTATTTTTGTTGTATTATTAAATTTAATTATAAAAAAATCAGTGAATTGACATAATGCTAAATTAGAAACCAGCAATCTCACAATATTAAATTAAAACTCAGCTTTATATTTGCTGAAAGCTGGGCATCTTCTTGTAAAAGTAAACGAAGTTAAATCTTTATGATTTTCTCAAACGCAAACTCCACTAAACCATACCAGACCACGTAACGGTCTCAAGCCAGCCCACTTCACAGCATCACTTACTAAGCCAACAGTCTATGAAAGACCTCACGTGGAGGAAGAAGCCGTTTTTGGTTTCTGCACCAACACAAGGTTAGCCATCTTGTTTTGTTTGGGTTTTGTGAACTAAAACTTGGACTACTCAGCAGACGGGTTTCCGCTCTGCCCACCACACGTATTTGTCTTCTTTGAGACAACATGGAACTGGGGGCCAGGCCTACTCGTCTCTCAGTGCCCCCGGCTCCTTGCGCACCACACATCAGGCACTACTGAAAGCTCGGTTTTCAGGGTGCCCTTCCCAGGCCTCTACCTGGCAGCCTCAAGCCTGCCCTTCTCTAACCTATTTTCCTATGCCATCTGGCATTCTGCTTAAATAGATTTCGAATTTGTCCGCATGCACTTGGTGGAATGCAGGACTCAGAGCGCTGGCACACTTGTCTGGTTTTGCTTACGCTGCCCCTGGATGCCAGGGGAGTCTCTGGAGTTGGAGCTGAGGGGCCAACGAACACCTGTTGGATAGCTGTTGTGTGGACACACAGCAGCTTAGTGGGCAAGCGTTACTCCTTTACAAAGAACGACTACTTCAAATAATTTTCTGCAAAACTCAACCAGCACTAGCATTTACGAGCCCTGCTGGCTGACGAGCCCATGGTCCCGCCTCCACGCAGCCATGCGAGTGGTTACAGCACCTGTGATGCACCGCTGCTTTTACTGCTTGAAGCAGGCTCGTCCTTGGCTGACACCTTCTGCTTCTTGTTCATCCCTAGAAACATCAGTAAAGTAACAACTTAAGGACAAAGCTGCGGGATGCAGCGCCAGCCACAGCCTGTCTGCGCTGCCGGGGCACCCGCAGGCCGTGTGTGCACTTCAGGCCCCAGAAGGGCTGCTACACCCAGGCGTCTGGGTGGAGACCCGGCAGGTGGGGAAGTCCTAGCAGCCGAGGTCAGAGGGGCTAAGGCCGCTTCTCTTTACAATTTAAGGTTGGGGACAGCAAATCCTTTTGAACGAAAGTAATAGCTAGATAACCCTTACAACTTGATTCTAAAATGCGCAGGTAGAATTAGCTTTCATTCTCGCCATCCGCTTCATGTAAGGAGATAAGGAGCAAGAAGTAGAAGCAACGCCGGAGAAAAGCTTTTGCGCTGCAGCTGTGTCAACTGTTGACGTGTGCAATTCTGAGGCGCATCTGCTGTTTCTTCGAATTAAGAAAAACTAACACAACTTCTCTGTCTGCGACAGTCACAAAGCCTGGCTTAGGTTACGCAGTGACTGGTCGATGTGAAAGAGCTTAGAAAAACACACAGGTAGATCTGAGACCAGACTACCAGTACACACCTACTCTCACACTAGAAAGTAGCATACGCTTGTTTTTTATTATTGCTATTTTAACGAAGGGCTTAATGATGATGCGCCACTTGTAAGTGTGCTCACGTAGCCCGCTCCCAGTTGGGCACTGCCCCGAAGGCCTGCCATGCCTATGACTTCAGACACCCGTAGCTGGGGACAGGTGACTGCTCTTATGCAGGGCCGTGTCACTCTGCAAAGCTGCCCGGCAGCCCTCCAGCCAACTGCAGAAGTGGTTTTCACTGACAGCAGTGAGTTTTGCTTTCGTGTGGAGCACTGCTGGGAATTAAGCCCGGGGCTCACATGCACAGCCACACTCGGCCCTGCACACCTGGAGCCCGGAGAAGCCGATGGAAGGGCGGGCTCTGCCTGACAGATGCAGACACCAGACTGCGGCCTTCCCGGGACGCCAGCTACGCTACTGCACCCAGAGGAGGAGCAGAGCAGCCAGCGCTTGATGATCTCGTCTCTTCATTAGCTAGGCTGGGGCTATATTTACTTATGCGGCTCTTTTTGCTTCTTTATGGTATTTCAGCAAAATCTGTAGTCCTACCTTGCTATCCAATTGCTTGGAAAAACGAATTTTGTGCTAGGTGAATTTTACAGGAAAACCCCGCCCCAGCACCGCTTGCAGCGCGATGCCCCAGCCCAGCCAGGGCCGCCTGCGGCTTAGGCCTGCTGACTCCCTGTGCTGAGCGCAAAGCCGCTGCCTGCGCTCCTCACGCTCGGCACTGGCCACCCCTCCTGGACCCACGCTGCCCACACATGGGCTCCTGCAGTTTCGGTCTCTCCACCGGCTCTCCCTTCTGGTATCTGTTTTTAAAACCACCACAGCACCGGCCCTGGTACACACGTGCCCCCACCCCACTCAGGGTTGGTGTCAGATGCCAGCTCGGCACTCTGGATGGGGCCCGGCTGCTCTGCCCAGGACAGAGTCTGGGCATGGACAGCAGACAGCCTCTGAGAGAAGCTCAGAAAAGGCCACCCGAGGCCGGTCTCACTGCCGCAGGACACGCCGGCTGGTGCAGGGAAGCAATCCGGCGGCCAGGTGCAGCTGCCACACCACGTGGGCGGCTGTGGAGTTGGGGGTCAGGGGATGCTGGACGCCCACTGAGCCCAGCCACCCACCGGCTGCCACTGCGGGGACAATGGGGGCCAGCGTCACCAGCTGGCCGGCTCAGCCTCCTGACTAGAACACTCGCAAGCTTAATAAAGCAGCTGTCTCCCCACCTTCGGGTGGTTCCTTAGTGCCCACCACCTCCACTTCTGCTCCTTTCCTATTTCCTATGGCACTGTTTCGCCTAGCTTTTCTTTTCTCCTGTTACTTTATGGGCCTCTAACTCAGTGTTTATTTCAGTTTTCACCAGCATCAGTGTTTTCACATTTCTAATCGTAAATTCAATTTTAACTGTTTCAATTTTACTCCACCACCACCGAGGAAAGATGTTACGGCTGAAAGAACATCAACTCTGGGAACTGATTTAGGACAGGGCGGTCTGGTTAGCACTCAGCCAGCTGTCGGGCTTGCTGAGGGTCCTTCCTGTAACACGGCACAGCAGGACCCAGTGCTCAGGAACCACGTGCACACACTGCCCACACCCGCACTCGCCCACGCCCACACTCTGCACAACTCTCACACTCACACACCCCACATGCTCGCACTCACATCCCACACACGTGCACACATCCCCGCACTCACACATCCCATACACGCTTGCACACTCGCACACGCTCACATCCCACAACGCTCACTCATACACCCCACACACGCTCACGGCCCCACACATTCACATCCCACATGCTCACACACCCCCTCGCACACACATTCACATATCCTGTACAGGCTCGCACACATTTACACACATCCCCCACCTGCTCACACGTGCAGGAGGGAACACGAGCACATGTAATGTGTGAGGGAAACACAGCCAGCAAGGAGTTGTAGGAAACGAGGATTTCCATTTGCCACTTAAAACTTGGGTGCAGTCTGAATCTCTTTGCAGTGAGCATTATTATTATCAGCATCAACACGTGGAAGAAAGCAATAAGCACTAATTCCAACCATCAGCACTAACAACTTGGTGATTCCCTTTCCCACATTTTGAATTTAACAGTTTCTCCCTCAACAATTTCCATTTATTCCAAAATAATTATCTCTACACTGTCAACAAAATACTAGCAAGAATTTGTTGACAAATTGGGCTTTGTTTCTGCTTCCACTGCTCATGGGATGGCTTAACGCGCACACACGCAACAAAGCTAGTCACGAGACCCAAAGCTGGCCCGAGCACCCAACAGTGCGGAAGTCAGAGATGAGGTTACCTGAGTAGCCGAACGAGATGCTCGACATCGGACTAAGGTAGATCCCGCTCCCGTACATGGCACCGTGGAGCTGCAAGAGAAGGCACGGGCGTCAGGCGGCGGCTCGTGAAGGTGGCTGCTCGCAAACGGGGCCCTGCACTTCGCTACAGCGTTACGTCTCAGGAAGTGAGAGTGCTCCTATCCTCGGGAGTAACTTGCAAACAGCACTACTGCTCCGTTTCTTCACATTCAGAGCGAGTTCCTAAGCGCACGCCGAGCAGAGGAAGGAGCCCTGATGGGCGCGCCCTTCGTGCCAGCAACAGTCCCTTACTCTGAAGCGCTCTGGTGGATTTTCATTCCAACGAAACTAAAATTCTGCAAACAAAGCTTGCTGAGATACACGGGGAGGCTGCTGACCAGGCCTTGCACGTGACACGGGGGCAAAGCAGCCACTCAGATCAGCGTTGGACAACACTGCCGGCCCACTCCCAGTGTCCTTCCAGTTCTCACTGGTAACCTCTGGAGTTAGAAGTTACCTGGAGGAAGAAGCCACCTACACAGCCGCCCTTCTCCTCTCCACCTCTTGGGCGCTTGAGCCTCATCGGCATGAAGTGAACACTAACTCCACAGACAGCGGCGCTGGCTTGCAGAGTGCACTCCACCCACATCCCTCAAACACCGCCGGGTGATGACAGTGAGCCCAGGCCCCGGGCCTTCCGTGGTCAGGCGAGGCACCCAGGCACTGGAGCACGCACAGGATGAGGACGCAGGTGGGGACACAGCTGCCCCCTGCCCACGCCAGTGCGGCCAAGGGGCCGAGGGCAGGCGCCAGAAGGTTGTGCGGCACCAAGCTCCCCTCTGCTTCCTCCTACTTTTTTTCTTTTCTTTTCTTTTCTTTTTTTGCGGAACCAGCCATCTCCCTGCCCCTCCTACATCTTCTTCTCCAAAGGAGTCACACTGAGACACAGTACTGAGAGACACACGCTGGACTCGTGGGCACAGTGCCTGTGTGTTTTATTTTGTTCAATACTTTCTCCTACTTAAGTTCAAAGCTGACGAGTACTATTTTCCTCATAGGGAATGCACCTTTCTTCTTTTCCACTGTGTCTAGATAGATTTCACTTCAGGTTTTTTATAATTTGTACAGGGTCTCACTATGCAGCCCGGACTCACAGTGACCCTCAGGTTTCAGCCTCCCCAGTGCTGGAGTCGCAGGTGTGCACCACCAAGCTGTCTCTGTGGCCGTTCAGCATCTGGGGGTAGGCCGGCATGGCGGGTGGTGCTGCGATGCTTCAGGTACTTTGTAAAAATAAATGTCCGTAAACCTCACCTGCTTCTGCTTTCGTAAGCACAAGCATTTCAGCGACTGCTGCCTGAACCTCAAGGCTAAAGGGCAATGGGGTCTCAGCGAAGCACTGGAGAGTTACCTGTAGGCGCGTATTAGAGGCGACCACCAGCCCATTCCGCAGGATGGAATGCCAGTTCTCGATGTGTGAGCCGCTGAGCCAAGAGAGGAAAGCACCATTAGACAGTCAGCCTTGGAAATCGGCCACAGCCCAAGTCAGGAGGCCACTCTGAGCTCTAGTGGGAATGGGAACAGGGGTGGCCACAAAGGGATTCGGGTGCGCCGGGCAACCGCAGGGCACCCCAAGGCTGTGCAATGCGGATAGGCACAAATGAACAAAAGCTGGAAATAAAGTAAAGAGTTCTGAGTGCCCAAGGCACGTCTAGCTGCGGGGCAGAAGAGCGGAGCAAGACCTACCAGCACAAAGCCATACTCACTGAAATGCAAAGGTGCTTCCAAAGAGTTTTTTAGCAGCTCTGAAATTGGATTCTTTGGCTGGTGGACTGCTGAGGAGGAGGAACTGGTGCGGGGTATGCATGAACTTCAGCTGCTGCCATTGAAAATAACGACAAAGGCGTCAACCTAGTGTCCAGTGAGGTGAACTGACAACTTCAAATTTTGCTGGGTTAAGAAGTAACTCATTTCAAAATACATTAATTTGACACTAATCTATTGAGAGGCTAATTCAATACATATACTTAAATCCTACATAATGACTGAAATTGCTCATGTAATGGACAGTTTTTCAAGTTAACGGGAACGAAATAACAAACGCACAACGCGACGTTACTCATGTTCTTCGCACTTCGCGTGTTCATTTCAGAAATGCACGCTTTCCTAATTACATTCTTCTTACGACTGTCATTACTGAATCCCTGAGCTCTCTGACTGAGAAAATATTCTAGTGTTTGCTAAGCAGAAAAGAACAGAGAAGGTAGATGTTAAAATTGCAAAAATTATCACTGTGTTTTATTTGTATATATTTATAAATTGGAAACTACCTATGTTCATCTTTAATTTTCCTCTTTGGTCATGGAATGAAGTCAAAGCAAGCCTTTTAGGTTAATTCCCTGACGAAATTTTCTAAGATTTCCCTTTCATCTAGAAATATATCGGAATACACAAAAGAGGAACCTCACACTGGAGATGCTCGGGGACAAAGGTCTGCAGCCCGCACCGCGGGTGGACAGCTGCAGTAGAGGGCGGTAACTGCTCTGAATGGCCATTTTTGGGCTAATTAGACTGGTAAGTGAGCTGCATTGAGTATCCAACAGGCAAGGCAGAAAAGGTGTCAACAAAAAATGATAACTGAACAGGACACTGGTCTTCCATCAGTTAGGTAACACTTGTAGTTATATCACATCAATATTACAGCTTTAAAAAGCCAGGGCATCAGCTTAAGGTCCAATTTGTTATCTTCACAAAGTACAGTGCGAATCTACACATAGGAATTTCAAACTGAAGAGCTGGGCTTAACGTGGGTTTGCTTTCGTTCTTGGAGAGGCTGCGTACCATCTCCAGGGGCTCCTCCCATTTCTGGGTCCATCTGGAGAAAAAGTACTTACCCTGTTAACTGGCAGTTTCACAATATGTGACCTATTACTCGAGATGACCCTGAAATTAAAACAAGCAGTTAATCACAAATATATGCCAAATATATTAGAATTTTTATCTGCACTTGGCAAGGAACTAAAATCTACTGTTGCTGTGCTCTAAATTCCATAATAACTGCATTACATTACATAATTTTGGTTTACAATGTGAAGAATCCATACAACAAAAAAGACACCTTATCTGCAAAAATCCCCTGGGAAGTAGCTTCTTAAAACCTACAAAGATAGTTCTTAAAGAGCACAGCCTCCAACAACAGAAAACGAACATTGCGAGACAGGCTATGCTTCCAGATCATGTGAGTACACAGAGGCGTGAGAGGCCGATTCCCGCATCTGTTTCTTTTTCTTTCCTCTCTTGCCTAAATAATGAGTTCTTATCAAGATTCCTATTTGAGGATGTCTCTGGGTGGATAGATATACTCAGCCACTTACATATAAAAGTCAACATAGAGGGCTGGGGAGACAGCTCAGTAGAATAAGCGCTTGCCAGGCAAGTGTGAGGGCCTGAGTTCAATCCCTGATTGTGCAAAAATAAATAAATAAATAAATAAATAAATAAATAAATAAATAAAGTCAATATATTTGAAGGTGAGAAAAATTAAATTTGGTATCTGAAGGAATAAACTGTTCTATGGATTTTGAATATTTAAAGCGGTCCTAGCAAAGATCGCAGAACAGTTCGGTAGATTCTCCTCTCCCTGGGACACTGCAAGGGACAGTAAGTCCAGGGGAAAGAGAAGCAGATGATTAAGATTTCTTATGTTTGTCTTAAATATGACAATGAGAAAATTAAAAGGTGAAACATGAAACTTTTTTTTAACTTGGCAGAATCTGAATAATTATGACAAATTAGGAAGGGTTTCTGCACTAATTTTTGTCATGGTCTTCTTAGGTTAAACACATACTGTACAATTTTAGCCAAGAGGGCAGAGGGCAGAAAGGGAATGAACGCAGCAGACGCGGCGGCAGGCCTCCGGGGAGAGCCTAACTGCTGAGTACTACAATGATGGCTGATTGCAAATACTCTTTAAAAAATCACCTAAGTGTAAGTTAAGATCAGAACCTCAGAGAAGTCATGTCATCTTTCTTTTGCCACCTTGTTAAAGCTCCTTGGTGCAAGCTGGACTGACAGGCTCACCCGTTTTCTCTGAGTTCATGTCTGTGTTTTTATGTGGTAACAGTGACAGACACCACACTTCAAAATCACTCTCAAAGGCTCAGGTCCACCCTTAGAGACCTGTGCGGACTTTGTTTGACCCAAGACACACAGGAGCTGTGTTCTCTGCAGGGGAGAAGGCAAATTATTTTGAAGCGGGTGTTACAGAAAGGTGGGCCTCCACCACTGTCCCCGGCCTCTGGAATCCAGAAAAAGCCAGCGCACCTCCAGGCTCACACTGAAACTGCCTTGTCTGAGTGGCCCAACCTAGCCACAGCTATGCTGCCTATGTGCAGCAAGCACAATGCACCAAACATGGTTCGGGTTTTAAATAAAAAAGGATTGATTAGCCCGCTATGAGCTAGAAAATTAAATGACCCAAAATGCTTTCGCACGGCATCTAGCTAATGACATCTGTGAGGACCGCAGACCAGCCGTGGTCAGATGTGTGGTGCGCCCTACTAGTGTGCGTGGCAGCACTTCCAGCCCTGTGATGTACAAGTTTTAATTAAAGTGAGAGTCATTAAGAACCCCTGGACAGCCAAGTCACCGGGTCTCGTGAGCCTGCAGCACTGCGGGGCTTACAAAACAGCCCTGGCAAATAGGAGGAAAGGACGCTGCTTTCAAGAAGAGACACTCAACTCCTGCAGTACCATTGCAGTAGGGGGTGCGCCAGGGGGTCCTGCTTATCCATCTGCTTCTTGATTTCCAGATATGGTGCCTAAAGAAAAAAAACACGCGTCCTGAATTCTCTTGAAAATTCATTTTTCCTTTTCCACGAAAGGAAAATCAGACTGACAGGGCTAATCTATTTAAAATTAAACATTTCTGGCCCTGGCATATAAAACCCCAAGGCCATTACTTGAAATGGGAGAGGGCACACTTCTGAGGCGGCAGGTATCACAGGAAGCCCAGGGTCTCAGGCTGGACGCCCCTTCTTTCTCCTTCTGGACCCAGGCTGCACCAAGGCCGGATCTCAAGGGCTCGCGCTGAAATAGTGATCCCAGTCGCCACTCGAAGGCCGTGGTCTCCCCTCAGCACAAAGGGCTGCAGGGCTGGGTCCCCAACACTGCCTTCACCCCTCCACCCCACGATCTCTGTTGTCCTTAAGGAAGGCAGTGCTGACAACCCGAATGTGTTGTGCTCTAACCCAAGCCTCCTGTGTCTTCAGCAATTCTCTGCCGAGCTCTGTCGCTATGTTTCCACTTCCTGGACCTCCTCCCGTCCTTCCTCCTTGGTTCCCACTTCTCCTCCTCACAGCTTCCTCCCCGTCACCTTGCAAGGCCCCTTCCTCTTGGCCAGAGGTGAGGCAACTCCAAGCCTCAGTCTCCCTCCTGGCCAGCCGCAGGCCTCTAGAAACAACCTGCCTGCCTTCTAACAAGCCCCCTGCAACACTTCTCTTTGACAATGACCAGCTTAACTTCAACTAAAAACCAAGGAACTTGTGAAACTGTACGCTTTGCTCTTAAGTGGGAGATATAAACTAAGGTATAGCTCTTTCTGTAAGAAGGCTGGACACAGTTTACATGAGAATCATTTTCTATGAAGAAATATGTACCTAAACAATTCACCATTTCGCAGAATAAAAACAGTCATCTTTCTGCATCTATGCAGAGCTACACAGGGCAGTGCCATGCAGAAATAGGACGGCACGGTGTTATATTTCTATGTTAGAAAAGCTTGAAGAATTCAATACAATAAAAGCTGACAGCACCCTGCGAAGGAGGCTCTGACAGCAGGTGCACTGTGCAGTTCTCCCGCATGGCAGTGAGGACACAGAGGCACCAGGGATGAAGCCACTTGTCCAAGGTCACAGGCCACATCATTGTTGAGTCAGTTATACAACGCTGGCCTCTAGCTCCTAGGGTGACGCTCAACCATCTACATCGTCGCCTATCAAAATAGCTTACCCATGACCCAGAATGAAGGAAGCAATTTTTGGTAGAGAGCTGATTTCCAGAGTCAGAGTTGGTAGCTATTTTTAAATCCAAGAATGATCTGGGTCTAGGCTTTAGTATAAATACCCTATACCACTTTCATGAGTGAAAATGTTCCATTTTGTGTAAGATTCTGCAATGAGCCCCAATCCCTGCTGGAATTTTATTGTTTTTTGTCCTTACACAGATCATAAATGCTTCTTTGAAAAATTCAGATAATACAAGCGTAGGCACAGAGAAGTAAGTGGCAGGGGTGGTGGTCTTACAGACACAGCACCACCGCGAGCCAAGGCTGTCTCCTTTACGGTGGTCCCGCACGTGCCCTCTGTGGAAGGGGGACGAACAGCTGACAGCATAACTAATGATCAGAAGAACCAAGAGTCAGAACCGGAAGGTGACAATGGATCTCCTGAGCAAAGTCTTCCAGCACAGCGCAGGGATGATGGGGTGGAGGGCTGGAGGAGGAGAGAAGCTCCCGAGTGCTGCCGCTCCCCCGCCTGCCCTGGTGAGAGGCTCGCTGGCCACAGGCCCAGGAGTGCCAACCCCTGTGCAGAGCAAGTGGGCCCACATGACACTGGCGCCCGCACCTGGGTTAGCAGCGCTCCAGGCAGAGACGGGCTCTCGGCCTCTCCCTGAGTCTCTGCTAGCGAAAAGGGCTCTGTGGCCAACAGCACGGGTGCCAGGCCCCTCTCATCAGCCTTAGACTCTGCTCCTCAAACACGTCCGCAGAGCTCCCACATGACCAGAAGCACAAGTGCACATCCTTAGGGCGTCTGGTACTCCAAAGTAGTTTTGGATTCTTGGCTATGTCTAAAACACTACACAAAACCTTTGTTGTAAAGACTAGTCCTGCTTCTATTTCAACATTAATATGTTTTAAAATTATTACCACTAATTAAAAGTGACCTCATAGGACAATGGAACTAGATTTAATCTTGACCGCAAATGCCTCACTATATTTACATGAACTCAAAGCTCTTGCCTGAGTCTGAGGACAAGCATTGGCATTAGGCCAGCATTAGCATGGCAAGGTGCTGACAGAACTAAACCCCGAACAGAGCACCATGCTTTCATGATTCTAACTGTGCCCCACGATAGAAAACCTAAACCTCACTACACCACCAGAACTCCTGGACATTTTAAAAAGATGATTTAAATGAGCAAAATGAAGGACCAGACAGCAAGACAACACACTTACTTGGGTCATTTCTCGGATCGAAGTGATGCTGTCCAGCGCCTTCATTACTCGATCATAGTTTTTCTTCTACATAACAAAAGAAGAAGAGCGTCCGTGTGCAGGCCCTTGCGAGGCTGCTTACCAGGGAGAAACGCGCTGTCTGCACGGGAACCCCCCCGAGGCTCCGGGGCGAGGGCTGCTTTCTGTGCATGGAAGGGAAGCTGGCAGGGGCACGGCTCAAGGACACAGGACTATAACTACAGTCAGACGAGAAAAAAGAAAGCAACGCCTTTCCTTATGTGAGGACACAAAAGCGTGCTCAGCCTGCCAAAAGCAAGCGTAGAAACACGAGCAAGCACTGGGCTCTCGGGTAGGCTCTTGCAGCTAACACAGAAGGCAAGAAGACAAGCGCAAAATCCTTCTAAAAACACAAAAATCTGATGGAAATAGCCACACCATTTATTTTGACTGAGAACACAGCACCATTACTCTTACTAAAAGACTGCAGTGACAGCACGCACGCGAGGCCACGCACAGCAGTGACTAATTTCTAAACACACAGAGCGTCCTGGGGGCCAAAGGACGCTCTCCCGATGAGCATCGCACATTCCTGCCTTTGGAACGGTTTAAAGATGAGCAAGAACATAAACAGGATAATCAGCTCTCGCACAATCTGAAAATTTCATTTCAGAAGGATTCTGCCTTATCCTCACAGGAATCTACAAAGTGATAACAGCCGATTAACAAGATGAATTCAGTGTTCACCTTCAGGTAGCTGGGGAGGTAACAGGGATAGAAAAGGAGGAGCGGAAGTGAAAATAGCAAACCAAAAGGAAAATCTGTCCTGCTCAGAACCCACAAAATTCAAAATGGAAATTCAAGAAAACAGACAATGGACTTAAAATAAGCATGGATGTGCTTAATGAGTCAGATATTCAGGAAAAAAGAGCAAAGCTATTGGGTGTCAGTCACTAGGACTGGAAGCACGCGGCACTGGTCTGAGGACCTGCGCTACTTACCCTGGGGTTAAAGGCCAGCATCTGAGGGTCATTAGGATCTACCACAGAAGGGTATGGCTCGAAAATGACAACTTTTCTAGGAGATTCCAATGCAGACCTACACATGGACACGAGGAGATCCACCACCTGGAAACAGACAGGCGTGTTACTCTCTTCTGTGATTCATCCATGGACCTGTCATCACCCCCCACCGTAGCGTCGTCAGCCAGCTGCCCCAGGCCACTGCCATCTCTGCACTCTAGAGTTCACGGCAAACTGTGCCCAAACGTTACTAACAATTTCAAGCAACAAACAACCCTGCTGCCGGGGAGATGGCTCAGTGGAATAAGCGCTTCCCTGGCAAGCGCAAGCGCCTGAGTTCAATCCCTGGTTCTGCAAAAAAAAAACAACTGCTGCCTCTGATTCCTTGCCTACTAATACCGCAGTCATGAACACCGGTGGTGGGCCAGCACTGTCCTAGGGCACCACCACAGGACAGAGAGATGGCAGCAGCAGTGCTTGGGCGGTGGGGACAGGCCAACAGAGGAGAGACGTCACCACCAAGTACCAGGTGAGCATATTCTCCAGCACAATTCTGGTGCTGTTCAATGACATAAAAATAGGTGCTGGAGAGTTACGCAGGGGAATACTGTCTAAAAGCGGCTGGAGAGAGGTGGTATCTCAAGAACTCAGCAAGGTCTGGGAGGGACACGCACCGTGATGGGAGGTGATGGAAGCCAACTGCAGGGAAGAGCCTGCGCTGCTCCGGAGGGGCGAGTCCCCTGCAGCACCCCGCCGCTTCCTCCTCTCCTGCGTCAAAGTGCGCTGATGCCTGGTGACTTCTAAATACAAGGGCTTTCTTTATCCTATGTCAGCTACCCTATGGGCACTTTGCAGTTTATTATGGGGCTGGACTGCCTATGGGCTGATTTGGCTCCCCACCCTGATGCCAAGACAGACCTTTTTTTTTTGGCAACTGAATCTCAAAAACGGATACTGTTTATAGAGGGCATGCACCTGCACTGACACAATTACAGTGTGGACACAAAGCAAAAGCTGTTTCTAGAACGTTCTAAAATGAGCATTTAAAAATGCACAGTAAGTTCTGGGCAGTATGTGGTAAGTCTGAGTTGAAGAGAGGGACATCGCTACCTAACGTCAACGCGGCGATGTCGTCAAGGACTTACAAAGCACACCTGTCACAACATCCAGAGTTTCCAGGGCCTACATAGCAACACATATCCACAGCATTCAAACCACGGGAGCTGCAGGAGGCGCCGCTTCTGACACACTTTTCCACCCATGTGGGTGTACGCGTGCACACAGCTGTGCATACGTGTACACACACAAGCCTTGCCTTAGACTCCGAGGAAGAAGCACAACGAAGTGACAACAGACACTCTTCCATCCTCCTCTCCACACTCACACTCCTTCCATCCCACAGCTGAACCTTAACTCTGACCCAACTGCGGACAGCATTATCTGTTCTCCTAATGAAATGAAAAGCTAACAAGAATTCTCAAGGAAGTCAGTCAGACACAGTGGCCTTGTCCAAACCCTTTGGAGAGGGGGCATGGCAGTACAGATGGACATCATTTATACAAACCTTTATAAAGGATGCAAATGAAGGCTTATTTCATGTATTTTGGGGCCTAATACTTTCACAGTGCAGTTCAGTAAACTGTTCTGCCTACAGATACACAACATGATCCCACAAGCAGCAGCTCCGCCGCCACGGAGCCACGCGGACACGCATCGCTACACTGACTCCACATTTGGAAATCTCCCATCAGAGGCCAGCACGTGAACACACACAGTGCTGCACTGCTGGCAGCCGCCGCCACCGCCGCCGCCGCCGCCCGAGGGCCTGGAGCGGAAGCGCGCAGACCGCAGCATGGGCAAGACTTCCGGGGACAGTCCGCGCTGCAGCCCCGACACGAGGTCTGGGGGAGAGGCTCGCGCCCGCTGACACAGAAAAGGACCACATGTGGGCCTCTCTTTAAAAAAACCAAAGCGTGAGAAGAATATTCTTTTTGAAGTAGAATAAATGCATGCTACAGAGACTGCTCTTTACAGATCAAGCACTAAAATGGTCTGAGCAAGTGTTTCAGGGCAGAACTACCACCAGGTCGTGTCCAACTCATTTCTGTGTTAGAACCATTACTTTTAGAGATCAATGACAAGAACAACAAAAACACCTGTTAATCTACTTAACTGGCCTAGTGTTAAGATGTCTCAATTTTCTTTCTGATTAATAATTTGCTATTTCTAGGTTTTAATTGGCTTAAGAATTTATATCTGCAAATTGTACAGATTTTAAGTGTACTATTTGAAAAATTTTAATGTATGTGGACATAATACAGATGTATTTATTTATTTATTTATTTATTTATTTTGGTGGAACCAGGGATTGAACTCAGGACCTTGCACTTGCCAGGCAAGCACTTATTCTACTGAGCTATCTCCCCGGCCCATTACAGATGTTTTCACAAACCATGCACCTGAAATGGTTTTATTTTTATATAGCTATAAATGTAGCTGTGGTGGTTGGTACACTGTGTCAACTTAAGCAGTTGGAAGGAAGCTTGGCTGGATGGGCTCAGTCCTAGGGCACGGAGGCATGGAGGTCCCCCAGGCACGGAGCAATGCCAGGCATGCAGCCCCTCCCAGATGTGGAGGCCCCCAGGCATGGAGCCCCCCCAGAAGTGCAGCCCCCCCCCCCCCGGCGTAGAACCTCCCCCCCCCCAGGTGTGGAAAGCTGCCCTACAGTGACTCAGCACAAGTTGGCTACATAAAGGGACTGGTGGAAGGATGGTCCCGCCACTTCCTCAGAAGAGCTCTGGTCTTCACAGCCAGTGCTGAAAGAAGGGAGAGAGGCTGGCTAGAAGTCGCAGCTGTGTCTCCTCCCTCTGCTCCTTGCTGTTTCCTGCTAACATGAACGGCTACCCTCTGCCACGTGCAGGCTGCCTGGGAGCCAGCAGAGTATGGACTGAAACCCGTGAGCTAAATAAAACTTTTGGGTTTTATTTTATATGCCTTTTGCAGTACAGGCTGGCCTTAAGCTCACTATGTAGCCCAGCCGGCCTTTAATTTTTATGTAGACAATTTAGTAGTTCACTCAAGTTGCCTACATGATCAAATCAAGTTTTTGGTGGAACTGCATGAAGTAACAAATTTTGGTTTCTTTTAAATGTATTGTTTCTCTCCAGAAACACGGTGTACTCCTCGATGTCTCAGTTGATTCCTTATTAGCTTTTCTATCTTTCCTCCCATCTTATAAATACTGCTGTTGCAAAACTCCATGTTCCGTGTCTACTGCTATGTTTCGCCCATTACCCTTTCACCCGGATTTCACACAGCCAGCTGACTTCCGACTAAGGCAGCTCAGCTCTAACGTACACCTTCCACAGAATGGGCACGATCGTCTCAGTATCTTAACTTCACCATATAAAAGCGAATTACAACTGTCTTTAAAATTCAAGAAACTTGGTTTAATTTCTTCCCCTTGGCAACTGCAAGACGACAGAACACCCATTAGGTGAAGTGAGAACATCAGTTTACACCTAGAAAATAGCAACTGCCAGCCCTCATCCTTAGTAAGAACCCAGCAAACCTCCGCAACCCGGAACACGCAGCGTCCCTGCCGCGCCGCTGCTGTCCCACCGCGCCACCGTACCTGAGCTCCAGTCGCTATTTCATCAGCGGCTTCGTTCATGACGCCCAGCGTTTGGAAGGCAAACACACACAGCTCGCGCTCGCACACCGTGGGCTACGAGAGAAGCAGAGACGGTTGCGGCACTTCCCCAACTGGGTTCCCACAGGAGGGGCGTGACCTCCCACCTGAGAACCGAAACGCAGGGTTGTAGAAGGGGCAGTAAAATACACCAGTTTCTTCCAATTAAAAATACACAAATTCAGGAAGCAGTAAGGAAGGAATTTACTAGCATACAGTCACAAATACAGTAAGAAAGGTTCCATTACACTCAGCACAATCCAGCAGCACGCAAAGATATTCTTAACTAGGAGTACTGACCTTAGAGTTTATTACACAGTCACACATGAAAGCACTTTCAAAAACATAAGAACTAAAGCTGGTGACATAATAAAAATGATGTTAAACATGAGGCTATATAAACAAGCATATGTGGAGAATTCTGCTCCCTTCCTAAGAAATGTGTTTGGACAAAGCGAGCACGACTCTTCTTCGTCCCCACCTACGGAAAGGCTGGGTCTGCTGCACACATTTTGGACCTCAGTCCCTCCCCGGCGCCGGCGCCAAGAGACCCACGCCCTGCAGGTAAAATACTCTGGAAGGGCTCCCACCTCTCAGATCTGACACAGCGTCACCCTGCGACTTATCTTCACGCCCCTCACTGCATGAGGTGGCTGCTGACACCTACCGCGGCGGCGGGCAGCTGTGAGCCGACTGTCTTCTTCACTCAGAACAGGCCCGTGGGTGTGGCTTTACAGGTACAACCTGACTAGTCACAGAGATTTCTAGCTGACTTCCCTAAACGGAGTCTTGGAGGGAGGAGAAGAAGACATGGATATGCTTCCTTCATCCGCCTTAAAAGCGCGATCTGGTTCTTTTTCAGAAATGTTAGAACTAGGGGGAAGCTATTAGGGAAAGTTCCGCATACAGACGTGAGCCACACACGTCACACATGCCTGCAGGCGCAAGCCTCAGACTGTCTTCTCCTAGTCCACTTACTTGAATCTTTGTGTGTGTGTGTGCGTGTGTTTACATGCACACGCATGTGCGGGCAACTACGCAGCCTCACTTTTGCCTATGGCTATTAGATCATGTTTTTTGTTCACATTCTGGAGCACAGAACTCTGGATGACCTGAAGTGCCAGCCAGTAACGACCACTCACTACAAACTTACGGTAGTGTCAAACACAGGTGTGAACCTGCGCAAGAAGCAGGAGAAAACCCTCGGGATTCATAAAGGTTTTAGGACACGTTCACACGCTAGCTACCCAAAGTCCATTGATAGATACAGCAGAGGCATAGAGGGTATTTTGTTTTGAATAATACTCTTGTCCAATAATCCATCACTTTCTCATGATCAAAATCTATCCATCAGGGGCCAGCCAAATAGCCCGGGATTCAATCCCATGGCAACTGAGGCTGGGTGTGGTGGCACATGCCTGTAATGCCAGCTCTTAGGAAGCTGTAAACAGACAGATCACTATGAGTCCAATCTAGTAGTGAGACCCTGAACACCCTGTAGACCCTTCCCTAAAATACAAAAAAAAAAAAATCTATCCATCAGGTACAAAACTAAATAACAGGATAAAGTTTACTGAAGGGCATGGGTAATGATTAGTTTTATTTGCCTCTTGGTCAATCAACTATACTTTGTAGTCACTGAAATATATATACATTATATATATATATATGTAATATATACATATATATCATATACACATACATATGTAAACAGACACATCAGGAAATGTAACACTAAAAACTATCTTTCTGGTACCAAATTATTTTAATCAACAAAACCACTATATAACTATAACATTTTAGCACACACACACACACACACACACACACACACAATATCACCACCAGCCCTAGGCATCTATGGGCCATTCTGACTTTATCTCAAAAGATTCATAATATTTGAAAATTATTTTAAGTAATAAAATTGATTTGTTATGTGTGATGCTAGGGATCAAAGCAAAGGCTTGCATAAACCTGAATTCTTGTGATGAAATTATGACAGGATTATTTTATTGACTCTTTTTGCTAAGGTTTTGGTTGAAATAGCTCTTTTCCCCATTTTTGCATGCAGAAGGCTGATTTTTTTTAAATACTCTCGCCTGACAACAGTTGGGAGAAATCTGACCAGCTAGAGAACTTCACTTTGCTATCCTAGTGAAAAATTTTAAGTGTAATACAAGTTACATTCCTATTATTTTACCTTCCTTTCTTTTTAATGCAGCAACTACAAAAACAAAAAGTATTGCCATTAATTACTACACTACCACCATACAAAATAGATACTAAAAATGAACTTTTAAAGTAACAATTCTATATATTTTGTTCATTCCTCAGACGGTTCAAGGGACACTCAAAATGTATGTAAATTAATTCAAATTTGAGCCAGCCATGGTGGTGTACACCTGGAATCCCACGACTTTAGGAGGCTGAGGCAAGAGGATTGCCATGAGTCCAAGGCCAGCCTGGGTTACACAGTAAATTCCAGGCTAATCTAGCCTACACAGCTAGACCTTGTATCCAAATTTTGTATATTTATGTTTATTTTTTAATAGTAATCTTGTTTATCCATAGTTTCTACATCAAATATTTTACTGTTATTGATATTAATTTATTTTAATAACTATTATGCACACATTAACAAGGCTGCTACCGTCATGCTGGGTAATGTGACACACCGTGACTCCTTTTGATTCCTTTGCACTTTATTTTTTATTTTTATGTTTTTTGCAGTGCTGGGGATTGAACTCAGGACCTTGTTCTTGCCAGACAAGCACTTGTTCTACTGAGCTATCTCCCCAGAACAAGCACTTCCATCTTCCAAAAGAATCTTTGTTTCCTATCACCTCTCCTTTACTCTTTACAATTGTATTTTAGTTTTCTCATATAAGAGAAGCCTGTGATGTTCACATTTAAGAATTCAAAGTATCCACACAGGAAGGCGCACCCAGAGAAAACCCTCCCATCCACAAGGCGATCCCGGTCAGGCAACGCCCACAGGAGCCTTCTGACCAAGAAGGCGGCACAGGGTCTTCCTGCCTTCATCAAACAGGAGTTCTTGCGGGGGTCGGTCCCCTCCTACCTGGGCAGACTGTGCCATCCTGCAGGCTGCTGCTGTGCCCCGGCCACAGCCACGAGAAACACCGGCATCGATTCAGAGCGCGCAGCCATCGGACGGCCGCACCAGGCAAGCGCAGCGGGGCCGCAACGTGCACATTCCGACCCAGGCGCACAGGCCGAGGACAAGGGCGTGCGTCCTTAGTTCACTTTCAGTTTATAGTAAATCAATTCCATTTGTCAAACGTTCCTTCTTAACCTACTGCCTCAGAATAACTAATTGTTATAGTTTATACTGAAAGACCGTAGCAACTCCCTCCACTCCCAGCACAGCTTTACTATAAGATATCCATCTGGCACCATTTGAAGCATCGGAAACTTCTACATGCGCCCCTAGAATATGAGCAATTTTCAGCTAAGATGAATACGTTTTTAATTTTATATGAACCAGAACAATTTTAATGTGAGCAATAAAAACATGTTTAAAAAACATTTTTAAGCCCTAAGGAATACTTTAGAAGTATATTTTAGAAAATGTGTTTTCAATGAATTTACGTACCACCGCTTCCTGAAATAAGAAATGCGACAACGTAGCTATGCAGAGCGAAAGACGGTGCTGGGGTGCGCTTTTCAGACACTCTCACTGTTTGAACAAAATGTTGTGTAAACAACATATTTCATGTCATCCCAAATACGGAAAAAGTTCTATCCAGTTTGAGAGCATATGTGCAGCTGTTTTCTTACCTGTGAAACAAGAATTTTTAAAAATCCAGCTGCATAGAGAGCTGTTTTAGTATTCACATTATAAGGTAACCAGATGAGTCACCCCTTATAGCGACTTTAACCCGCTGCATACACACAGGTATTTAGTAAGAAATACTTTTCTCTGGAATATACTGTCCTGCCTTTTCTTTGGATAAATGTATCAAAATGCTTATTTTGCTGCTATAATTCTTCCAACTTTAAAGAAACTATCAATATAAGTTCCTGATTTATAAACAAGTGTTGGAAAAATATAGGATTACATTAACATTTTAAGAATCACAAAGTCTGTAATTCCTTACTTTTCTTAGTTATTTTTCTCATTACCAAAACAAAGCACCCAACACCCAAAATTAAGGGAGGAAGGTTTCTTTGGCCCACAGTCGGCAGAGGCTTCAGGCAATCGTCTGCTGGCGCCAAGCAGCGGGCAGGCGGGGGGCGCTGCAGCAGCCCGGGAGCACGGGAGGGGCGCAACGAGCCTCTTCCTGCCCCTTGATCTGCACCCCGGCCGCAGGGCAGCGCCAAACCAACGCGTGGCCTGACTCAGCACCTCACACCTTACTCCCAGCATCACACCACCTAGACCCGCCGCCTCTGATGCCTGCAGAGGCTTCGGGGACCATCTGGACCTGAGCCACAAGTCTGTATTTTGGGTTCTGTGGTCAGTGCTTCGGTTCTTGTAGCTGGGATACCTGTTCAGGGTCAGGGAAGGTCACTGACACTTGAAGTCCCACGGCAGACAGACCCAACTAGAAGTCAATACGGTGTCGCCCCTTACTTCATTTCATTCCACAAATGTGTTTTGTGACTATTAAAACCAGCACTGATCCAGTTGGGTATTATTTTTTTAAAATCATCTTTCTGAACTAAAGAATGTTTAGCTCAACTATTATTTCAGCTTACCTTGTGTCTCAGAATCCAAAATCTAAATAATTTTAGAGGGGAGACAGTATCTGAACAATTTATTTGAAGACAACAATATAATAACCATTGGTGAATTCACACCATTTTGTTTGGTGAAATTCTGTACCATTTTTAATGCATTTTTATATTCTATTTAAAAATAAAATATAAATGAGTAAGTACTCTGTCATCCATTCTTTAAATACTAATGTCAGACCTAAATACAAAACAACCTGTTTTGCTCTCAGAAGGAATGGGAATTCCTCAATCTGCAACCAAAAAGCAACTGTTACTAATTCCCTAAGGAGAGTGCGCCT